TTGAACAGAAACTGAGTATGTTTGATATACGTTTCGCTGACACACATGTCAAGTGTAAGATGAAACTCTATGCCTGACTGATGTCCAGCTACTCAGAGTTTAATGTGTGTGTGTGTATGTGTAAAGTAGTGGAACGTATCGACCACATCATTTACTTCAAAAGTTGCATCAACCTGAACTCTCTGGTTGCTGACAAAATCTGAACTTGAATACAGAAAACTTGTTTGATATTTACCAATTAGGAAACATTCATTATGCGAAACAATAAACTATTGATGACTTTAATTTCACTTAAGCAGATACTGGTAAGTTGTTAATCATGAAAGATAAACAACTCAACAGACAAAGATGAAATTAACGTACAATCCTTATGCATAACCATTGAGCCACCGGGCAAGAGTCAAATGATGCCATGAGTACCCACTGCTTAGGAATCCCATACTGAGACAAAAACAACTGTCTAGTATTCCCTAGTTTCCAATGTTTCTCCAACTAATGTCACTCGATGATGAATACAAACCTGAAACCAATAAATCCCCTATAAGCCCCCACCTCTAGATTGAAAATGAGATAGCTTACTGTTCAATGACCAGTCAGTGTTTGCATACCTATTTTTCATCATCTAGTGCCATAAGTGTACAGGATATGCCAAATTTTGTCATATATATGTATCTTTTCTCTCCCTCTCTAATGTTAACAATGATCGTATTCTATTATTTTAAGTAAAGTTTCACTACAATCAGTGTTATTGATACTGGTGATTTCATGTTATCATACTAGATGGAATTGGCTGACATGTGTTAGCATTCATTATAATAATTTACTGAGTAGTGGGAACACCATCACTCACTTGGATTTAGGTATATCCAGCTGACGAGTTCTAAATAGGACGAAACCGGCCGCCTGGACCTTATCGCTAGTTACCACTAAGTAAACTACTGAAAATAACACTACTGTTAGGAATTACTATTATTACCGTCATTATTATTATTATTATTATTATTATTATTATTATTATTACCATTAAACGCACATTTGTTGTTCCTGAGCAACTAGATAGGTTGGAAAATTTTGCTTTGATATTGAGTTGTGCTCACTCATTCATCGTGTGAGATTTTAATACATCAACAGAAAAAAAAGTTTTTTGAATAAGAGAGTAGGTGTAGTGTAGTTATCTGATTAATCAGGAAATTATTTAGACCTACGTTGGATAACAGTAATAATAATCATAATAGTAATAATATGATAGTTGCCGATGAATTCTCTCCTTATTTTATTTTCCCAATAGGATTGAAATTACTCTTCAAGATTTGAGCGCATTACTTGTCCCCTAGGCCGATAACTTTTAATAAAGTAATATACTACGGTGTAGGGCTGTTGAAAACGGGTGACATTGTGTATTATTATTATTATTATTATTATTATTATTATTATTATTATTATTTGTCCTTTGGGTTCCTAATGGAACATAAAACTTCAGTAGCACGTCTTTAGTGCACTCTGTTCTCTGAAATCTTTTGAACCTAGCTCCACGACAGCCCAGAAGCTTTCATTTCTTCCTCACATGATCTCCTCCATGTCACCCACAGGCTGGGACACCCAACTCGTCGTTTCCAATCTGGGTTCCACTCGAGGGCCTGGCGCGTGATGTCCCCAAACGGTCTTCTCAGTCTGTGTCCAATCCAACCCATCTTCACTCTCTTCTTCTAAATATTTATTGGGGGATGGGTTGTTGGTTGGTTGGTTCGTTGCCAGCCAGCCAGCCAGCCACCGTGAGTACCTTGTTGCTTATTCTCATCATTCTGGCGATCTGATTTGATCTTCAGTATGAAGTGAGCGTAGACGGCAGCTGTTGATGATTGTCTGTAGTTTGTTGTAAATGCTTTTGGTAACGCGCCGTCTCTCAATATCATATAGAAGCACTAACTTACTTGACTGACATTAGTAATGTTTGAAATCCGAATATTGTTCACACTTTATACTGAGTGCAGTGCAGTAGATCTCCACACTGATTTCAGATTGATAAAAAGGGTGACCTATCTTGCTGTCTTTCCTATCGTCTAAATAGACCAATCCTGAAGCAGTAGTTTGTATTTGGGTGGTGAGATGAACATCTTAAAGTCTTTTTCAAAATAGTAATCAATGTGTTCAAAAGCTTTTCCATCTCATCGACGTATCCTCCTAACGGTATTATGTTATCTCCGTGCTCTAAGCTTACTAAGGAGTCCTCATGTGATAAGATCAGTCTTTGGGAAGTCAGACACTGAGACGAAGACTTCCATAAATAAATCTGTAATAAAACTAAATAAGAATTGACCGTAATTAATATTGTTCTCAAAAATACTTGATCTTTGCACCTATTGGTGTACATACTAATTCGTTACACAATAAGGTATTACAGCAAACTTTTCTGAATATATCATTTATTTGTTTATTTTATTATGTAATAATCTATTCAAAGCAATTTTCTTCGCCTCAGTTCTTGAAGGATGTATTAATCTATTAGTACTGGGTGATAATTGAAGGTAAAGTGGGAATTCGGAGTGCGGCCGGATTCGAACCAGCGACCGCCAGGTTTCCACCCCGATGCTCTACCAACTAAGATACGAGATCCGACTGCTCACCAGACTTTCATTTCACCTTCAATCACCAAGGATCTTTTGCCCGGCTACCATATGGATTCTTGATACGTCACTATTGCTTGATCGTATTTACATTGGCTGCTGCCTAGTGAGAACTTCTCATGGCAATCCAAATCTAACTGAATTAGAATGAGTGAGCATCATATTGATTATCATTTGGACTGTATAAGTGATATAGCCGTGGTTTAGCAGACTAGTATTGATGCAGAGTAATGATTGACAGCGAAATGAGAATTTGAACCGCGACCGGGTTCGAACCAGCGACAACCGGGTTTCCGTCCCGATTCTCTACCTATTGACCTACAAGGTTCAACTGCTGACCAAATTTTTATTTCAATTCAATGACCATCGGGCTGAAAACTTGACGGTCGCTGGTTCGAATCCCACCGCTGTCCAAATTTTCATTTTATCCTCGATCTCCACCCAGTATAAATGGACTAAGGCTGCTATCTCAGATAGTCGAAAGGATAATCTGTTAGTATCTTTGACTAAGTGAATTATTTGTTATCCACGAACTATTAAGCGGATAAAATACTATTGTCCAGGTAAATGTCAGTGGCTACAAAACAAAATCTGGTTCCAATAGAATCTAACCTACGTAATGAAAAGTCAATAATCAGTTAAATATTATTTATTGATGAAACTGGTCTCTGCTAACATATGAGCTCTTATGTGAGTGCCCACCCGTTATACTACAGGTAGCTCTTATGACTTAGTAACCTAGTGAACAATTTCATAGCATTTGGAGCGATGACACTCGAAACATCACCACTCACAGGGATTTAGGTACACTTAGCTGACGAGTTCTCTTAGTCATCATTAAAACCAATCATTATTAGTATTATTATTTATCCCTTGGGTTCCTAAAGGAACATAAGGCTTCAGTAGCACGTCTCCATTACACTCTCGCCTCTGCAATCTTTTGAGCCTGTCGCCACGACAGCTCACAAGCTTTCATTTCTTCCTCACACGATCTCTTCCATGTCACCCACAGCTGGGACGCCCAACTCGTTGCTTCCTATCTAGGTTCCACTCGACGGCCTGGCCTGATGCGTGATGTCCCCAGTCTGCCTTCTCAGTGCATGCCCAATCCAATCCATCTCCACTCTCTTCCAGTGCATATTTGTTGAGCGATAGGTTCTTGCTTCGTTGGTTAGTGGCCAACTAACCAGAGTTCCTTGTTGCTTATTCTAACTATTTCGGCCATCTGAGCTTCAGTAACGAGCCAACGTAGGCAGTTGTTGATGAATGTCTATAGTTTGTTGGAAATCCCTTTCGTAACTCGCCAACTCTCTCAACCATATAGAAGCATTGATTTGACGTTGGTGTTGAAAATCTGGATCTTGTTCACGCTTTGTGCTGAGTGGAGTGCAGAAGATCTCCACACTGGTTTCAGGCTAATGAACACCTGTCTTGTTTCTTTGATCCTGGCTAGCTTTGACGTCTTCATCTGTGCGCGCCTGTAGTTGAAACAGTGCTGCCTACATAGGTGACAGAGGCTACTTCCTTTAAGTTTCTCCCGTTGATGGTGATTAAAGCTTCGTGTTGTTGTTGGTGTTGGTTGTGTGTCCTCATCACCTCTGTCTTCTCTACGTTCACATGAAGGAAGTCCCGTCTTCGCTTTGCCTGCTTTGCCTCTTCTGTCAACTTGTTAGTTTTTACCTGTAGATCTTCAAGTTTGTGCCACAAGACATTAGACATAAGTCATCGGCGAAATCTAAATCTTCTAGGTTTTTTCCCCGGTCCAGCCAGCGTATCCCACTCTTCTTGCTCCTCACTGTTTGTTGCATGATCCAGTCGACCACAATCAGGAAGATTATGGGCGATAGTAGACGGCCTTGTTACATTCCTGTCTTCACTTCAAAGAGATCACTGAGCTTCCCATTGTGAATTACTTTGCTTCTTCATATAGTTGTTGAATGAGATTGATAAAGGTTTGTGGTATTCCGTGGTATTGAAGCAACTGCCAAATTACTTGTCGGTCGACGCTGTCAAAGGCTTTCTCAAAGTCGATGAAGTTAAGGTAGATAGTTGAGTTGACTGCCATTCTATACTCTGTTCGATAATGATGTGAAGCGTTGCAATTTTGTCTGCACATGCAAATCGATCATAAGTTAGTTTAATATAGTTGCTCAGTTCTATGTTAGATAAAGGTAAATGTTATTATTATTGTTGTTGGAGAATTCTTGGATTAAAATAAAAACGACTAGTTAAAAATATGTTCAACAGGTGAATAGTCGAATTAACAGTTACCCAACAAGTAGTTTTCATACCACCCAAGTAACTTTAGAAATAAATGGTGTATATATTATTTTCCGTAATCTTCCCCTCCTTTTTTTTTTCTCTATCGTTGAACAGGATCTTAAATCTTTTATTGATGCCTGTGGTAATGGTCATATTGATCGTGGTGAAGAATGTGATCCTGGTGTTCGTTTAACTACTACTGTCACTTCTGTCAATCTTACTAATCCAATGTCATGTTGTAATCTTGATACATGTCTAGCTTCTGTATGGGCAGTGTGTACACATGGTCCATGTTGTCATCAATGTCGTTTAAAACCTAAAGGAAGTGTTTGTCGTCCAGCTTTTGATCAATGTGATCTACCAGAATTTTGTACTGGTACACAAGTAAGCTGAATAAATATTATACTTTCTATTCATTTATTGATTTTATTATGATTGGTTTTGCTCTAAGGCATTTTTCATCAGTTTATGAACTAATGAAAACATCAGAGCATTCATTAGACAGTGGTTTCGTTATAGTTTATGAACTTTTTAGGTTTTAGACCATGGGATCAAAGGTGTTAATCAATAGGGAATCTCAAACAACAATGAAATAGGTGTTCAGTAGTCTCTCAGGCCTTTTCTGTGTTTCTAACTGATACTAGTCCGTAGTGAAAAGTGCCTTGAAACTGATGTATTTATGATTTCTTTCTACGCCTGCTATCCACATACAAAGAAAGTTTAATGTTATTATGATTTCTGTTAATTTCATCAAGAACTTGATATTCTATATTCTTATTGTTTTCCGTCTCCAGTACTTATTTGTGCAGACAGAGTTAAATGTTATGGGATAAGTTGAGAGACCACAAGTTCGAACTATCAAAGTTTAACCGATCTCTTGAAATCTTTCTGCTCGATACTTGTAGTTTCCTTTTACTAAACAAGGTGAAGTTGTTCGACCTCACTGGGGTGCAGTTACATCTAACTGATGAGTTTTGTGTAGGAAGAAATGTACGTCCCATATTCCACTGCTAGTCATCAAGATAAATACAACATCTCCAATTAGCGGTTACATCACATTGTCTTCAAGTTGTATCCTGTACTCTAAGATGATGATCACCCATTCAGAGATTTCTTTTTGTCTGAATAATAGATTGCATTAAAAGTCTAGGAGAACTGAACATGCATTTCGTCCTAGTATGGAACTCCGCAGACGTGTGCACCCAGGGATAGTTGCGTTATACTGGAAGCTAACATGGACCATTGGACTTCCAACATGCTCTCCAGGAGATCTATAAGTCCATGGTTAGATCTCCAGCGAAGTCATGGGTGCGCACTTCTAGAGAGTCTCATACTAGAATAGAATCCCTTAAAAACTACAAGTTAATAATTATATTGTTTATGTTTTCTCTTTCCCTCTTACTTAGCCATCCTGTCCACTTGATTTATACTTGGAAAATGGTTCCCCATGTCTTACTCATACGATCCAATCATTGTTAGACAGTACTTCATCATCATCATCGTCACTAGCAACAGCGCCTGTGAATGGACAGCAGAACAATTCATCACCATCTAATCATAGATCTTTATGCTATCAAGGCAGATGTCCAACACGTCATAGCCAGTGTCAAATGATTTGGGGACAAACAGCTACAGAAGCAGATGATTACTGCTTTCATTTACATAATACTAAAACAGATGGAGCTTGCGGTGTAAAGGGGAAGAATTGTGCTTCTGAGTTAGTTGTTTATTTTGTGCGTCTCTATGTATGTGTGTTTGTGTGTGTATGTCTACACATGTTTGTATTTCAATTTTTCTACGTTATCGATGTAATCTATTGGCACGGGTGGATTTTGACTTTAAATACTGCTCTGATAAATTTCACCCTTTTCAACCTGATAACACATATGATAAACCATCGTGCACTGAGTTTGACTCATATTCGTGAGTATAAGCTAGTGGGAAGGGGGGGGATCCTTGAGTAGTTACATTATCCTAATTACATCCTAACGTTACTACGATTATTGTCTTTGGATTAGTTCATAGGAACTAACCAATACTTTTGAATGTGAGCATTAATTTCACTTAGTAATATAATACCGCATTCGTATATCAATCATTCAGCATCTTTATATTCAACTGGAATACGGATTATTGCTATTCGCAAAATGAAGTATATTACTTCCATATTAGATTTGTTCATATGACATATAATGCACAGTGATACAGTATGATTTACATAATGATGATGCTTTCAGCAGAAATTATCACTACTCATAATCATATCAATGTAATCACATTATATTCGACATCTGATTTTGTAGTCCAGTCACCTCTTATTCTTTGTTTCTATCGGTAGTAAACATTTCCATATCTCTAGTTTAGATGTTGTATCATTTCGACTACATGTATTGGGTGTTGGTCCAATGAACAGAGATTCAGTAATCAATCCCCCCCCCTCTCTCTCTCCATCTGATTATATTGGAGTTAAGCACAGTGGATTTATCTCACCCCATTGAATGGTTGTATGTTGATGCATCCACTGCAATACGCAAGTGCTTTTCTAGATTATTGATCTTAATAGTGTCTGACATTCTATATTTAGCTAAATTCCTATGTTCCACTATTCTAACTGACTCGGCTGGCTAGTCTCACCTATATACTTGACCTAACTCAAAGTCATTACATGGAATTTCATAGATTAAATTATTTTGCTGAATTCGATTTATCGCATCTCCTTAAAGCAGCTGACAAAGCTTATCTGTGAGTGAGTTTGTAGGTTTAAATGCCACCATGACTAATTCCAGCTTTCTTGAGATCCTATGTAAAGTTTGTGATGTTCCTTCCATGTAGGGTAGCAGCACAATGGAGACCGAATAAAGTTGTCTCTAGATGAGTCTAATCTGATGCCTATAACTAATAATCCTAGCAGAATTCATGACACTACTAAGGTCCATTACACCCATAGTTAACTTCAGAAATACCCCCAACATATGAAGTAGCAAAGTACTCAGCATTGATATTGTGTTCTATTAGGAATGTGTTCAAATTCCAGACTAGTAAACTCTTACGAGTTCAAACTGAGGCTTAACGGTCTACATATAGGCGATCCCAACCCGATATCCTCAATCGTAGTAGATATATTTATGGATAATTGGGAAAACATGGCTTTACGAAGGTTTAGTCCTGCACCTAAGATATGGTGGCGATATGTGGATGACGCATTCACTACTGTGTTGAAATCGGAACATATTGACAATTTCCTGACACATAGAAACTCAGTAGCAGGCGTAATCCAGTTCAATTACGAGAAGGTAGAAGATGAACAAGGAGAATTGCCTATGTTGGATTGCAGGATAAAACGAAGGACGGATGGTGGTTTGGATACTATCGTCTACATGAGACTGACAAATTCCAACAGGTATCTAGACTTCAAGTCATCTCGTCCAATTTCAGTCAGTGAAAGCAGGTTTAGTCAGGTATCTGAATGATTGAGCTAGAGAACTGACTAGTCATTGCAAGGATCTAAACAAGGAATTGAAATGCGTAAAAGAAGCACTAATAGTTAATAATTATCCTTCACAGTTTATTAAGAGATTCGTACGGACATAGAAGAAACAAAAACTGACAGTAACATGAGTACGAGTAATAACGATAACAGGAGTAGAAATAAGTTCAAGGCCTTCATTGTGTTACGCTATAAGGAATGAAGGTGCATGAGGAAGTTTACATAAGATCCTCAACAAGGTTGGAATTAGAGTTGGATTTTCAAGCCTACAAACTTACTCAGAAAAAAGCTTTATCGGCCTAACAATCCATGACAGATTCAATTGAGGAAAGTAATCTAATCTACCAAATTACATACAATGACTAGAATGTTCAATGCATAGGTCAAACTAGGCAGTCGGGATCATTTAGGTGATCAGACTGACAAATTCCAATAGGATGAATAATCTAGGAAAGAACTCAAATATTGTAATGCATCCGTTAACACACAAGCAGAGACAATAAGGGTGGGATAAGAACCACAGTGTTTCAATTTATTGGGATTTGATGAAGAGAGAAATTGTTTATAGAAGCACTGACTTACTTGACTGAATTAGTGTTGAAAATCCTGATCTTGTTCACGCTTTATGCTGAGTGCAGTAGATCTCCACATTGACTTCAGATTAGTGAAAGCTTGTCTTTCTGTCTTTCCGATCCTGGTTTTGACATCCTTCGTTTGTCCCACCACCTGTAGTTGAAACGACTCTGCCTAGGTAGGTGAAAGAGACTACTTCCTCTAGGTTTCTCCTGTTAATTGTGATTGGTGCTTGTTGTGTTGGTGGTGGTGGTGGCATTGGTTGGGTATCTTCATCACATCTGTCTTCCATACATTCACTTGACGTCCTGTTTTCGTTGCATTGCCTATTCTGTCAACTTGTTAGTTTTTGCCTGTAGATCTTCGAGTTTGTGCGACATAAGATATTAGACATGAATCATCATCGTCGGCGAAATCCAAATCTTCTTCTAGTTCTTTTCATCGGTTAAACAGCCAGTGTATTCCCATCTTCTCGCTCTTCAGGGTTTGCTGCATGATCCAGTCCACGACAATCAGGAAGGTCATTGGTGATAGTAGACAGCCTTTCTTACCTGTCAACCTGTCTTCACTTCACTTCAAATGTGTCACTGAGCTTTCCATTGTGAATTACTTGGCATGTGGCTTTTTCATATAGGTGTTGAATGAGGTTGGTAAAAGTTTGTGGCACTTCGTAGTGTTGTGAAGCAACTATTGGTCGACGCTGTCTAAGGCTTTTTCATAATCGATGAAGTTGAGGTAGAGAGTTGACTGCCATTAAAGCGAGAAATATATTCTTTTTCAATTAGATCTTCGTCTTCGGCTTTATATCGATGTATACGTTTACAATTAAATCAAGGAAAGTTAGAGAATAATCCACTGAACAAAACTACTGGCCGGTTAGAATTATATTGTCACTACATAGATGATACCTTTATAGTTCTCTAAAGTGAAATTGGTAAGAATACTGTTCTCAGTAAGTCCACTAGTATTCATCCGGCAATCAACTTCATAATGGAAGAGGAGAAAAATGACAGTTTCCCATATCTTGATCTTCTGTTGGTAGGAAGGTTAGATGGAACTCTGAAACGAAGTGTATATAAAAAGCTAACATCGACAGGTCAGTCAATACATGCACTTCTTTAATGTCATGTCTCTGCAATACAAAAAGAAGCTGTTGAAATGTCTAGCCTACCGCGCCACAGTTATTTTCTGAGTTGATGGTATGGATGGAGAGTTCGCCACCATCCCTAACCTGCTTAGTAGGAATGGGTACCTAGACAAGGTAGAAAGCACTCCCAGCAGCCAAGTTATGTCCTGTCTTCTACAACTGCGTGATTCTAGGTGCGAGAAATAAAGACAAAATGCCTGGTCCTGTCATTTCCATGTACATTTATCAATTTAACTGCTTCTATGGAGCTACTTACGTTTGGCGTACAATGAGGTAGGTCCATCGTCGAGTTTCTGAGCAACACCCATCAAGGTAGAAATTAGAATAATAAAGACCTCCATCCTTGCACACCTAGTTGACGGTATGCGGATGGTATGCGGATGCATCGATATTGCCTGAATGTTAATTATGATAATTTGGTTGGTTGTGACTAGCAGAAGAACCAAGGACTAGCGTTTCGTCCTATTTGGGACTCATTCGTCAACTGGACGTACATGCACCCCAGTGAGTTCCAAACGGGACGAAACGCACGTCCTTGGTTCTTCTGCTAGCTACAACTAACTAAATTATCGGAATTAACATTCAGGCAATATCGAGGCATCCACATACCAGCCCATATGCTAATAGAGGTTGAACAATTCGATTCAACACAACAAGTATGTCAATAAATAGTAATAACTACCATCCGTTGTACAAGAAGTGGCTATCGTTCCTTTCGTGGTATAATGGATAACGCCTTATTTGCATCTTAATTTGTGAAACTTATCATCTATAATTACTATTCACCAACCCTTTACCACTTAATTAGTGTATGTCCTAACCAATCTTTTTTTCTAAATGTTAGAGGTTGAAATTTACTCGGAAATTGTATTTGTATTATCCAACTACTAATTTCTTTTTAAGTAGTTGTTGAATGTTTACTGTTTATGATTTCTGTTTCGTTAGTATACTAAACCATAAGACACCATTAGCTCAGCATTTAGTATCATTTGCTATCAAGATATTTGAGTAGTAAAGCTTATGAGGTACTAGAATGTAAGGGTGAATAACAGTTAAGATAGAGATAAGTTGTGAACACCTTTAGGTCACTATGCTTGTTTCTAAATCACCAAGAATCTCCGATAACCTGCCTTGGTTATTTTGTAGACACCAACCAGAAAGTTTCTCTACCCTTCAGGATTCAGATTAGTAGTCAAAAGTTTTGCTCTGATTATGAATGACTATAATGGAATCTAAGTTTATTTTAGCTAACACAACTCGTTCAGGTAGATGATGGTTTAGAAGTGACCAACATATTTCATAGCCACATTAGTTCATGAAATTTCATAATCTCATCAGCTGAATGCCCTTTTACATTCATGATTCTATGACACTTAGGTACTTCTTGAAGATAATAGAGATCAAAAACCTCGATCCTATGATGCTTATGTTACCCATTCATAGAGTAAGAGAGAGAGAGAGAGAACTGTTGAGCAGTTCACTAGATCTTTATTGAGTGATTGGATACTTT